GGCAGTTCGTACTGTCTGCAGGATGTGAGTTCCTGAAGGATGGATGATTGTCAGATACCTGTAGAGATAAAAGAGGCAGTAGACAACTCTACCAAACGAGTCAGTGGTGCCAAATCTGCAGAAGTCACTGTTAAAGTGAAACTAAATATTCATGTTCTTGCCAAAAGTACAGAGTTTAAGAGTGTAATTAACCAAAATCCTTGTTTTAACATTGTTATGAACTGCAATTTTAGCTCAGTATGTCACACAGTGGAAAATTGTGTTTTTATATTTTGTTTTGGATCAGACTGTGTTGGTACAGGGTGTCGATTTTATTTGCATGATTTTATCGTAATAGTGATATTGCATGTTTGTTTATTGATATTCCTATTTGCATGATTTTATCTCCATATTTATAGTGTGTGTTTAGTGTTGATTGAACAATATGTTTTTTATTATTCCACTGTGGATTAAGCGGACAATTTTAGACACCTGTGAGGTGGGGGCGTTCCCCGAGGCGGCCTATCAGCCACCAAACTGACTTAAGGGAGTTAATGAGCGCAAAGACTAAAAAGAGAGACACACGAAAAGTGGAGAGCTGGAAAACAAAACGTGTGCAAGCCAGCATATGAGAAGAAGGACCTCTGGCCTGACTGTGGGGCGCCACGAGACATTCGGCGATCGGCCAGCATAACCCGGCGATCCAGTCCCGACGGACAGAATAGCGACCGTGGGAGGCGACGCGTGAAATCCACAGTAGGGCAGGGGTACGCCTCTGCCTGCATCTGTGAGTATCGCTTTCCCACTGTTGGGCGCTAGGAGTAGCTTTGCCGGGGAAGGGTAACAGCGGCTGCGCTGACAACGTTGCTGGCCCGTGTCTGTTGTTTCAGGGCGGAGCTACGAGGGAGGCCGTGCAAGGAGGTGGAGAGTGGCTGGACTGCACGATTGCGCACAGTCAGGTGGAGATAGGAGCCTCCTCCCTGGTCTTCTGCTGGCGAGAGTCCACATCCCGGAAGAGGAGTTCCTCTCCTGTCTCTCTCAGCTCAGGAGAATTTACCCGTGTGTTGCTGGACTGGGAGAATTAGGACCCTGGGGGGGAGTTTTTAGTATCGGGAAAAACATTCATTTAGCTTTGTGTTTTTAGCGTTTAATCATTCCTGCCGGCAGGGTTTTTAGCGGGTTATGAACATTATTTTTATTGTATACGGGGATTTTAGCTTGTATTTGGGGTTCAGACTGTGTTTTATTCTGAAAATAAATGGTGTGTTTGAAGCCAGCTAAATTTCTGTGCTCTGAGCGCTGACCCACTCACTCCCCTTTCTGCTTGTATAGGCGTGGTGAAGATTTAGTTCCACCAGTTTAGCGGCTACAAGTAAACGTTCCTTACCTGTTAACAGCGATGTACCCCATGAAAAGGATGCTGGTGTACATGTTGAGGTACAGGGAAGTAGCTCCAATGCTGCAGTGGAGTATGTGGAAAATGGCCGAGTTGCTGGCATAGTGGATTATCCGCAGTGGCAGACAGAGGCAGAGCAGGAAGTCAGCAGCTGTCAGGTTCTGCAGGTAGACCATCAAGCCGCTGGATGCCTGCTGCTGAGTTTGAGAAATGTAAAACTTTAGGATGAAGCCATTGAGGAGTAAACCCACCTGTAGAGACACAGAGAGGATGTAGACAAGAGGACTTTCAAACATGATCCAGGAACCAGTTTCAGGGCACAATCTGACGATTTGAAACATACCAGAAACAGCAGACTGTAGACCAGCATAAAGAAAGGGTTGACTGATGGGACAACCAGATCACAGGTCTGATTG